CCACGCCATTTGCAAGGTTTCCAGCCCGACGCTATTTGCAAGCTTCTGGAGCAGCCAGAATTCCATTCCTGCGCTATTTTCGAGGTTCTCGTCGAGCAGCCGGAACGCTGGATTTCCCGCGCCACTTGCGAAATTCCATTCCCACGTCATTTGCGAGGGTTTAAGCAGCCGTGAGCAGCTGGAATTCCAGCCGTGCTATTTGTGAGGTTTTCAAGCAGCCGAAAGAAATTCCAGCCTCACACAATATTTGCAAGGTTTTCGACCAGGCGGATTTTCAGCCCCGCATTTGCGAGGTTTACGAGCAGTCAGTATTCCAGCACACTCTACTTGCGGGATCTTTTGAGGTTTACGAGCAGCTGGAATTCCAGCCCCATGTTATATGCGATGTTTGCAAGATTTGCTGACCCTGGAATTCCAGCCCCATGACACTTGCGAGGTTTTCGAAACCATGGAATTGCAGCCCCACGCTATTTGTAAGCTTTTTGGAGCAGCCGGCATTCTATTCCCACAATATTTGCGAGATTTTGAGCAGCAGATTCCCGGGAGCCAGCCGGGTGGCCGGGAATGTCATGTCCAGCGGTTAAACGGACTACAAAACAGCGATTCTTGGCTCCGGATGTATTCCTGGGAGCTGGCCGGACGACTGGAAACGCCAGTTGCAGTCCAGTACTACAGTGGAACTACAAAGTGACGATTTTTGAGCAGTACTAGAGTAGAAGAATCATAGAACTTGTTCCCGAGCACGCAAGCGGGGGTCGCGGTAGGTGCACAGGGTCCTACAGTATAGTGCTCAAGAATCATAGAGCCGTTCCCGAGAGCACAAGCCGGGAGCGCTACAGCGTACTACAAATAAGGCGATACGGTACAGGAATCAAAGAGCCGATTGCCGAGAGCGCGAGCAGAGTCGCAGTAGGTTTACAGAGAACTACAATATAGTACTGAATCACAGAGCCGGGTCCTGAAAGCGCAAGCGGTGGTCGCGATAGGCCTAGAGAGAATCACGTTAGTATTCGCGAGAGCATGTGCGGGCGTCGTGGTAGGTTTGCAGAGTGTTACAGTGGTACTACGGTAGAGGAATCATATTATGTATAAAGCCGCTTCCTCAAAGCGCGAAATGTGATCCTGTCAATAGTAGCCTTCCTTACAATAACAATACTCCAGTCCAGAAGCGCAACAATAAAGTCTCCGCAATGGAGACTTCCTGCCTAAAATCATCCCGAAATTCAAAGCAGTTAACAAAACTACAGAAAACTATAGTTGTCGCTGGTGTAGCATGTCTGAAGGCTTGCAAAGCTGCAGGGAACTAGAGATTGGCGATGCGTAAGCAAGCTTGAAAATTAGCAGAATTGCAGGAAGCCAGACATTGCGAATGCTAAAGCAGACCCGAAAGCTAGCAGAATTGGTGCAAAACTGCGACAAAGTAGAGACTGGTAGTGCTTAGGCAGGCCTGAAAGCTAGCAGAACCGCAGGTAACTAGAGACTGGAATGAGAAATTAAGGTGACCGGTCGGGGGACACCCCAATTTCGTAATTACGTCTGCAACTCACAACCAATAATTCTGAAATCAAAGTGTGAAAATGAAGTGTCCGGCCGGCAGTCACCCTACTTTCAGAATTGCCGTAGGTCTGGTCAGGTGTAAGGCGACCGAACTAAACCATCTATTCATCATTGTACCCATCATCATCCGCATCACCAACATCACAGAAAACAACAAGAGCTGATCATCACCGTCATTATAATCAAGAGCGGAACCTAGGACCAGAATATTGCTAAGTATTCGAGCTTCAACATGAACCTGTGGATTGGGTGCTTGATGCCTTATCTGCCATGGATTTCCGAATGCCTGGTGCAGCAACTGACAAATTCTACGTTGTCTCCCTTTACAGCACTTCAATCCGGCCTTGAATCGTGTTGTCCAAATATTAACAAGAACAATGATCTCGCAATTTGGGGGGGACCATCTCGGTTTACAGGCTAGACATATGATTTCAAAGACTCCTGAAAAGACGGAACTTTAGTCCGTTTGCTCTTTCCACGTGGGTGGGCAGCGCCTTGTATAGCCAAAAACCAAAGCTGACTCAACGCAAAGCCCCGAGTGTCCTCTTTACTCTAAGTTTTCCCATCAGCCCTGCTTGTCACCGCATCCTCCCAATTTCGTTACAGTTAGGACCAAGACGTTGGTTCCTGTTGTATCCCAACTTGGTTCGTTTTGCGGACCCCGTTGGTTCACCTGGTTCCCGTTACGAAGTTCCTGTTCAGCTCTGCCACAGGTCTGCACAGGGTGACGGTTGTAACGGGAACCGGCTCAGGGCGTAACGGGAACCAGGGCAGGGGGGGACAGGAACCGCTGGTGGACGTACCAGAAACCGCATGGCGTTGTAACGGGAACAGAAGGGAACCGGGAACAATCATGAATAACTAAACTGGCAACGACTGGTATTGCTTTAGGAAGCGTACTTTATGCAGACCGAGTCAACGCCGTAACAGGATCCATGGGGCCATAACACACTCACGAGAAATAGCGCCAGAAGGACACCGAAAATGACACAACCGGATCAAACATGGCACCAAACAATAGTAATCGGATCCAAAATAACACCAGAAAAAGAATCGCAGGAAGAGCTTGGATTTTGTAAGGGAATATCACCAGCTTCTGTTTTTGGTTAAACTTAGCAGCAGCGCACGCAAACACGCTCACCAAAATTGACACAAACATAAAAACAACGCAAACAGACAAACACATTCACAAGAAGTAGCACCGGACAAACACAAGAAAAATACACACTCTGATCAGGAATAGCAACAGAGAAGACATACAACAACACAAACTATCAAACACATTCACAAGAAATAACACCATAAAAACACCAAAAAAACAACATCGGATCAACTATAACACCAGGGAATCCAAAAGGAGTCAGAGCCGAGTCAGAGCCAATGTTTCTGTTGAGATGCGGAGAGCCCAGAAGCAGCCAGCCGGACCAACAGCCCAGGACTAGCGCAGGTCAGGACCAGCCCAGCCCAACCATAGACACCCAGAACCAGTCCAGTTGGCTGGACAGGCCAACCCTGCTTGCCAGACAACGGTTGAATTGTTTTCAATCCATCCAATGATTGCGCTCCTGGGTTGGGTGCCGCTGGGGGCGAGACTGTAGAGAGGGTTTGCATGCTCAGGTAGGGGCACAGGGTTTGAAGAGAGGTAACCAAGTTCCACGCTGAAGGGTTTTCAGGGTGAGGTCCGATCATGCATGGTGCCATTTTGCAGCATTTTGCTGGTGTTCTTTTTGGCGCTTGTGTTTGTGCTCACTATCACAGAGGCGGGGGTCCTGCAAAACTATTTGTTTGATAGTAGTATTAATATTCATAGTAATGTTGCCGCCACTACAAACCGGCGCAGCAACCGAGGAGCTTAATTGCAGGGTGAAACATTGATCAACCAAGGTGGGGAGGGGGTTTTAATCGTGAGGATCACGTTGCCGTAGAGGAATCATAGAGTGGTACTGCAGTAGAGCAATCCTACAGTGGGTTCCCGGGAGCGAGCAGATCCGGTGCATTCGGTGGGATATGGCCGATAGCGAACTTGGTGGAGAGCCCCCCTGCCACTCACTTCCCAAAAGCACACAATAGGCAGGCCACTTGTTGGGCCAGCCCACACCGGAGTCCCCTCAAGGATCATTCAAGAAAGTTGGAACCGTACAGAGAAGATTAGGATGTCCTGAATTCTAAGCCGTAAGTGGTGCTGAAGTGGTTACACACGGCAGAAAACCCAGAACGAATTCCGAATTTGCCAACGTATAGAATTTATCTGTCTTAATGAATGCAATAGCAGAACACCGTCGCGAAAACGTGAGCCTCCAACGTTTAGCCGCTAGCCGGTTCTCGAGAGTGCGCGGGGAAGAGAGAGAGGATGAGGATGACGCCGGATGGCAGCAATAGAATGTGGGGAAGAACTGCTAATAACAGCTTCGCTTTGAAATTTTTATCGTCGGTTTGACAACTGCGCCTGGGGCCTCGTTCACTCCAGGTTCTCATGTCACGGGTTGAACGTGCCCAGGATAGCTTGGCACAACACAATTTGGGCGATGACATCACTAGCGTCAGCGCTGCACTGAAGGTTGGGAGGGGTCTCATGCTGTGTCCGCAATTGTAATACCATTGCGCAGAGGGCTGCATGGTTTACTTTCAGGTGCGCCGCTGGGCTCCTCTTCGTGTGCCTGAGGGAGTTGGGCAGGCTTGCACGGGTTGCAGCATCTCCTAGGCAGGTCTCTTTGACTAACACGAAAAGCGTGGCTACAACGTAGTTCAAGGGCCATGCAGGCGCTAGACTGCTAGACTACCTGCTGAATACGGCCCAACCAGCGTGATGCTGAAGCCTTCAAGGGCAGCAACCTATGCTGGCCTTGTACTGCTGCATCGAAGAAACGAGTAATTAACGGAGGTCTTGAAGCTGGTCTTTCTCCAACCAGCATGTTCTTCCCGGCACGCATTGAGCCTCCAGATGCCGGAAAGTTGGATGATATAATGTAACATAACTTGACCATCTCACGTTCCTGTGATGCCAGCGAGGGTGCGAGCGTGCGCTTTTCTGGATGGTAGAAATTTAGTATACAGCTGCGTGATTGCATGATATTGCATGGTTGCAGCAACAGCTTGAGCGGTACTTATTGTCTGCTGCAGAGAAGAACTACAGTGCAGAAGTGTTTACGTCTGTGGAAATACTGTGTCTTTTTGGATTCCGGGTGCTTTTGATTTCCTGCTCAGATTTTCTGGGCTACTTGTTGCCAAAGGCATCAGGGGCTCCTACAACTTTTGAAAATGTTATGGACACCTTTCTCAAGGGAATCCGGGGTGTGGCAGCATCCATCTCAGCCTTGCTGACCGAAGTGCGGTCTGTGAGTTTTCCAAGAGGAAAAGCCACAGGGCAGTGATTTTAGCATGCGCACCCATGCCCAATGCTGCACAAGTAAGTTGGCTTCTGTTGACATCAGCGCATAGCTGAGGTCATGGACATTTGTCTGGGTTCTCTGGTCACTCCACGGAACATCAAGGAACATGGCTGCCAATGTGTGTTGCATTGCCCACCCTGACAGCCCTGACATTCCGGCGGCCAAAAGCTACAGGATGTTGTGGCGCTGCTGAAGAAAGAGGTGATCAAGACCTTAGGGTACGAGGCCAACGGTGCTCTTGGGCTGCAGAGATGTAACATGGATGTCGGCTCATGCAGGCCTCAAACACTGAAGGCAACCTGGAGTACCGGCGGCTGCTTATTAGAGCACTGCACGCGTGCACAGGCTGCTGCAGCTCAAGCATTTATGTTCGGAGTGCCTGCAAGACTCAGTTGTCAAGCATTGTCAGGGCAATATCCTGATCAAGCGCAGAGCGTCATGTTCCTTCTTATGGTCACCTGGCAGCCTTTGATCGACTTTGCAGCATGGCTGCTCCGGGCAACAGTGCCAGGACTTCCTGACAGAATCTGACCAGATGACAGCCACTGAAGTAGCCGCTGCCTCCGCACCAACTTCTGTGTTAGCAGTGTGTTCGCATGCAGCAGACGTCGCAATTGATGCTTGCGTCTGTCTGCAGGTTATGTTTCTCCGTGAACTCATTGCCAACTATACAGCCCGGCACTCAATCTCACTTAATGCAGGTGGCTCAACATCTCTCAAACCAAAACCTGGCAGGTGGTATATTTTCCATGATCGCATTGTGAGTCTTTAAGGACATGCGCCAGCCCATTCTGCAGCGCCTTGCGGAATGCATCGCCGATGTCTCACAATCGCGGGTGCTAACCTCAAGTAAAGACTGCATGCAGAGTCACGCAGATATGGCCAGCTCAGTTTGAACGGAAGGTTTTTGCAGATTAGCGCTTTGTCGTGTTCACTTGCATTGTATGTATCCTTGATCCAATTTGTAGGCTTAGCGCCGGTGTTTTGCAGGTCCTTCGGGGCTGTCTCTGGCTCTTCGGCGAGTACTGCGAGGATGAAGCTCTCATTGAGACTGTCATCCAGGGTGTGCTTGCCGCATTGAGGCGCAATGTGCCATCAGCAAATTTATCAAACTTTCGTGGCTCCAAATAGTGCTTGCAAAGTTTCTGCTGTAAACGCTCCTCTGGTTCACCGTGTGAGGCCGCTACTGTTACTTGTTGTCAATTAGATTTCAAGGGCGCGGGTGTCACTGTGTGGGATCAGCTCTCTCCGGCTGCGTTGTTGCAGACTGCTCTCCCACTTGTCCAGTGATGCAACTGAAGGTAGGGCACAGGAATCCTCCAAAGACTTGGATCTTTTGGCTGAGTAAACTGAATCTTCAAACCTTAGCGGCGCTCAGAGCTGGCCCTTGCGACTGTCTACTGTCCAGGGCTATGCATCCCAACGTGACCGCAAGACATGCAAACAAAGGCTTGCCTAGCCTGTAGCTTTCCATGTGATGCCCTGCAACCGTGAGTCGCAATGACTTGCGGTAGAAGTGAGTCAATATCTGAACACGTGCTTTCAGTGGAAATCCCTTCCTTTACACCTTGCATTCCTATGGCTTTAAGCCCCACCAGAAGGTGTGTGGCAGCTTGCTGTAATAACTCATCTGCCAGGCCACTGCCCCTGGTCTTGGAAGATGCGTCACAAAAGGAGAAAAAGGATGCAAGCAACAGCGAAAAGAAGCAGCAGGACTCACTCAGCCTGTCTGTCCCTGTGGCGAGGCTGAAGATCAAGTGTCCATGGTGCCGCTGGGCTGTACTCCTGGGTTTACAACACTAACACTCGACACGCAGGAGAAGAAGCCACCAAAGATCACAACGAAAACGGTGGTCCTGGCAGATGGCACCTATGGCGCACGGCTAAGGGATCCACGTTGGCCAGGCGGATGCACGTAGAGTCTATGCTGCCTATCGAGGTACTCAGAACGTCTACGAAGGAGGCGAAGGAGATTCGTCCAGTTTCTTACAGGGTGGCTTCTTTCTCCACCAATTCATGAGTGGTTTCTACAAGAAAGTGTAAAATCTACAAGGAGAGGAAGACGAGGCGCCTGAGGAGAAGACGAAGACTGACTCGAAAAAGACTGCCTTCCGGGCTTTGCTGCTGGGTCTGGGGCTTGACTGATCAATGTGCCGCAGTTGTTGCCTCGAGTGACTTCAGTGGAAGCCGTGAGGGCTTTCTGAGCTTCAGGCGGTGACTTCCTCCTCTCTGCAATGGTTGGAGCAGCCTGTCTACCAAAGTAGTCATGCTACTTTTGTTTCATTGAACCAGCGGCCAATTTTCTTGAGGAACGAGCAAGCCTTGGGCATGATGGCGGTATACTGTGTGGCCCTATACGCTGTAAGTGCAGACGCAGTGCTAAAATTGGTACCTGTTTTAGGTGGGTCGTCTGCTTGTGCACCCTGCGTTCACATTAATTCTCGTATTCCCAGAGCATCAGTGCCGATCCAGAATAACTCCCATGGTTGACTACGCCCGATTCCCGAAGTATCCATGCCCACACTCTAATAAGTTTCAATGCTCGACTGCCCCCGTTCCCAACACATCCATGCCCGATCCATAATAACTCCCATGGTTGGCTGAATCCGATTCCCAGGGCATCCATGCCCAAACCACAATGACGTCCATTGTCCTGCGAACCTCGCTCATAGGGGCACGACAAAGATAGGCTTCCTGTAGCAGTAGGATTGTCTTCAAGAGGTTTGAAGTATAAGTATGCACAGAGCACGTTAAGTGACTTTCTAATGCCATCCCAACACTACTTGCGATAATGTTGAAATCAAGTAAAAGTCATTCTCCTGAAAGTATGGTTTCAGGGGTTCTCCAATCGTGGTTTTCGTTGTAGCGTAATCCACGAAAGCTAGCAAATTTGCTGGCCGTCTCAGGTTTCTTGGTCCTTGCCGAAACACACCACTGGCCACGACATCCTCAACTACCCTCAGTTTTTGCACCTGTGCGCTGAACACTATCCCGAAAATGCGGGGCACTCCTGCAAACGTCTAGTAATGCTGACTCCGCAATCACCCCTCCCCCAACCTCACCAACTCCCTCCTTGCCCCATCCTGCAGTTTTCCTACTCGCAGGGGCATTTATTGTTGTGTCCTGGGCCTGGAATTTCACAAACTTGGTAAGTGAGTGCTGGTACTAGGGGTACTACCACCATCACCATGACCACTGCCATCAGGACTGCTGCTGCCCCACTATTTGGGCTGCTATGCGTGTTACTACGGGAGAAGTGCGACAAACGTGCAACTTCAAACAATATTGATCGCTGGAAGTCAAGACGTGGCACTTGTTTTCCATTCGTTGGGCAACAATTTCGTTTCATGTTGGCCCGAAAAGTCATTTGAAGACGGACCATACCGATTTCACTGTTGTGCGGTGTTGCGTCACAGGTGTCGATGACAAAGCTTTGCATGAAGCTGAAGAAGCTGTCTGTTGGCACGCGAAACGAGGTGCGTCAGCATTTCATGGGTTTCAATTGCGGCAGTCTGAGAAGTCTAAGTGAAACTTGAGAGTGCCTAAAGGTCGGTCAGAACTTGCAGTTGCAATTGCATGTGCGCAGATGCGAGTGTGCCACGTGATGCTGGTCAGGTTCTCTTGGTGATTGCAAACCTCTTCAAGCTTGTGAAGCAGCATGCGTGTGGTCGCTGGCTTAGCTTGCTAGTCACCAGGAGGTGTCGGCACATGTCGAGCTACACAATGGCTTGCGTTCAAGAATGTAGCATACCCTGGCAGCTGCTATGATGGACCCTCATAGCCGAAGTCAAGATCTCGATGATCCTACTTCAGGATCTTCGGGCTGGAGACTTCGGAACACAACGCAATGTGTGCATGTACGCTTAAATGACGGTGTCCAGCCATCTTGAAGCATGGAGGTCCTGGACCGAGACATGCCGCACAAACTAAGTCTGCTCAGTCAGTTTTGAGATCGCATTTTGATGAGTCGCATCTTTGTCTGATGCCGCAGGCGGCGAGAAGTGCGACAGCGCGGTTCGACTCAGCCAGTGCATCCGAGCTTTTGCCGTGCTTGGTCCGGCCCCTGGTAAAGGAACAGCTTGTCTTCCCCAGCTCTGCCAAGGGCACTGTCTTTGTTTGCAGATGCCGCCGTTGCTGGGACTTCTGATTGAACTAACCACAAAGCCAAACTGCTCGAAATTACAAACTTATGTGAAAATGGTGTGGGTCGACACTAGCTCCCTAGCTGCAAAACGTGCCCAGATCCAAATTCCATAGAAGGATTGTGTTTCTTGTTGAGTGTCCACGAAGTCAGGGCCCTCTTGAAGATGGGCAGGGATTTCAGTCCTTGCTTTGGTACCCCTGACTATTTGCTCTTGCAACGTGCCCAGCATCTACCTGAGTAAACGTGAAGCGTGGCTAGCTAGTATGACTTTCACGTGTGCAATGCATTGGACCTCAGCTGCTGAAACTGCTGCAAGTCACGAAAGCTATCTCCTTGGAGTGGGCGGGATCTTGTTTACCGAGCATGGGTACCTGAAATGCCTCAACACCCCATCCGCCTTGACCGAATAGTGATAGAATCGCTGAATATGGTGTGCCCCCCAAGCCAAGCTCGACCTCTCAAGACTCGTGTTCCATGTGTATTTGTGGCAACATGGTCATGCTGCCAGGGTTTGTTTTATAATGTGTCATTGGGCAAATTTGGAGAGATAAGATTCTGCAGCCGTGTTTGCTAGTGCATTCTATTACTATTTCTAAAGTCACCGACTGGGAGGATATGAGAAGAGATCGTCTAAAAGCTGTAATTGAATTCATGGGTTTGCTTGATTTTCTAAGTAGACAGTGACGCCTTCGTAGACCATGTAAGAGGCCTTCATATAAGTAGTCTACATATCCATAGTGTCCCACAGTACCATATCCGTTTTTGGGTCAGTGATCATCTATTAGCAGGCAGTTGGAGGGCAAGGATGCATTTCATTATCCTGGGAAGCAGCTGCATTTGTGGAGCCGCTTGTGGGAGTTTTGTTTGCCACCAACTATTGTTTCTTGGCTGCGAACTTTGTTGACCGGCTGGTCTAAACACTTGAATTATCTAGAGGTGGGCGCAAGTGGCCCTCCTGCCCACCGCAAAGGCTTGAAGTATCAGGTTGTGGCGAGACACTTTCAGAAAATGGTGAGGGCAGGAGCCACCCTCCTGACCCTGTCGGGAACCCAAAGTCCTGCCTCCTCCCTGCCGTTACTATTGCAACATGCTGTCAAATTTGTCGTGCCATCAGGACTTAGTTTTTCGGTTTGTGATAGGATAAATTTGGCAAGGTAAGATTCTGGAACTGCTGCATTTGAAGAAGTGATCGATTGGGAGGACATCAAAAATGAATTGTGATCGTAGAGTGTGTTGGGTCAGTATGTCGAATCATACTTGAATGCAGTTCTCAGGTTAAAGCAAAAGCAATGATTTCATGACTTCATGAGTTTTTTTTGGTTGGAAGTTGGAAATGATGCAAAAGAATGTGAGTGCAAATCAAGGGCTTCCTGGACGCTCTGCTGAACAACTGTTTTGGGCGGTTTCGCGCCAAGCAAATAAAATCAAAAGTTCAAATGCAATCCAGCTGGAATTCAGGGCTTCTAGACTTTCCGCTTTCTGTTCTTATTGTTCCCTGAACACACATGATCCAAATCAGCCAATAAGTTTTCCTGGAGTTGGGGTCTTTTCGATTCCATGATTTCCTTATGGAACAAGGGTTGGAGACCATCAACAAGGCTCCATGAACGTGCTTCCGTTAGCATATCCGTAGTAACGTACCATTTTCGGACCAGTGATCATTTAGTGGTGGGCAGGAAGTGGAGGCATATGTGCTTTGGTTTGATGATGCGATTTGTTTTTCAATTTCTGGGCGCCTGGACTAGACTCGGTTGAATCTCTACCAAGGCGTGTAACCCGAGTATTTTTGCCTCCAAAAGCTTTGCAATGCAGCCAAAAGCAGCATCCGGTGTGACAATCGCCGAGGTGATCTTCCAGAATTCCTTAGGGCATCATGCTACAAGCTTGCCGTATGTGCTGCATGCTTTTGATCGACATCTACATGAAGTGTGTACCTGGAAGCCTCGGAGACTAGCCGACCCGAGGCAACTCGCAGTTCTCTGACTCGCAGCGTGCGGCTGCGCAGTTGGTTCAAGGCGACTGGACTTCAAACCACGGCCGGGACCAGCTGGCGAAGGCTGCAAATCTTCGTGAGTTCCTTGGGGTGGAAATCGGGTCCACCTGGCCAGTTTGTCTCAGTCCCTGAGAGTATGTTCAGCTAGTAAAACACAGAAAAAGTGCACTGGCAAAACGGCAGTAGAAGTATCTGGCTTGCAGAGCGGGAATGCCAGCAGACACCACTTCCGAAATCCTGCAGGTATTGGAACTGGCCGCGCAAAATTCGGAGTGGGCGCTCGGTCAAGAGGAAGAGGTGCAGGCCAGAACTGGATGCATAATGACAGAACTGCCCATCCAAAGCCTCCCTGAGAGCATGCTGCATGCTGCTGTACCAGAAGAAAGCAGAGTCTTCTCAATATGGGTGATCCTGGGTCCAATCCTGGCTCAACGAGTTATCCCGCATTGCTATAAGTGCAGTGGAGGGTGTGGCACGGGCTTGAGGTTTGAAGATGGCTTTGTGATTTTGGCAGGAGAAGAGCGTTGGTCCGGATGAATGTGTGATGTTCCGACAGCTTCGAGAGAGAAAGGGCGGAATTGGTCCGACAGGCACCAACGCTGAAGCAAACAAGTAAATGCGGACAGACATGTTGCCGACAGTGCGTCGGTGAAATTAGAAGCCTAATCTCATCCGAGGTGCAATGGACGACGACGAGGACTTTAGCGCGGCTCGTGGTGCCTTCCTGGCGCAGGCTGCATGGACCAAGCATGCTGAGACTGATGCGCATGCCGTGACATTTGGGGAAGGTCTTAGCGGGACCTTCCGCCCTCTTTTGATCAGGCAGCTGCGGACGGCGCGCTGTTTGCAGAGCGCCTGGCCAAGGCCCTGAAAGCTGGTTGGGTTCAGCTTGTATTTTATTATTGAAACATATTGCAATGCTTCTGCTAGCATTGAGCCGCCCCAAAGTGCTACAGGATATGCACTCTGACCAGATAAGCAGGCAGCATGTCAGGGTTCGAGTTGAGAGAGGTTCTGCTGTGTAGATGCAACTTGGTTCAAAAACATAGTGTGTGGGAGGAAAGTAGATTTCCGGAGACAGGTGACTGGTAGCCTCAGAATTGAGATATCTCTGGGTCCTCTCAGCTTGACATGGCAGCTGTCGTGGAGCCATTCAACGCCTCAGCAGCTCAATGGCAGGGCTGCCGGGGGTGCAGCCAACAGGCATCAGCTTCAAATCCCTTCGTGGATGTCAGGTGCAGCAGATGACCGGCCTGGCAGATCCCGTTTACGTGGAGGCCTTTTTGCAGGCAGGGGGTTTTGCTGCAGGACCAGGATAATGGAACACAGGGCTGTCCTGCCTTCTGGCACAGAGAACTCTAAAAAGGGCGACAAAGGATGTGATTGAAACCGGGCAGCCATCTAGCTTCATTCAACGCAAACATAGTGTAGTCCTTGCGATAGCAGCATGGTGCCCGAGCCTGCTCGGCCGTAGATGTAAAACCAAACCCGCAGATGTTGAGGTCCACTCCTTCGACCTCATGCTTGAGCTTTTGGTCGTGAACAGGACCAGTGAGACCCTGCAAAATGTCCTCATTGAGTTGAGCACGCAGGCGCTTCAAGGTTCTTGTATATTCTCGCGACTTGTGCTGGCTGTCCTGCTGCCTTGTCTGTCAGGGAGACTTGAAGATTGTGGATAGACCGTCGGCAGTTACGCTGGCAGCAGGCACGGTCATGCGGAGGGGTTCTTAAGTCATGTATGCGGGTGTTCAGACATGGCTGCGGGTCAGCTGAAGCCATGTTCTCTGTGGTGCCACTCTATGCAGGTCAGCAGATGACGCTCCACGCTTCCATCAAGGCACAGCTGACCAGGACTGTGAAGCACAAATGGTTCATGTGTACGTCGGTCCAGGTAGCTTCCACAGAGACCGGCATCATCTTTGGTTATGTCACGTTTGAAAAGAAGAGCGCGGCAACTCGGCTGATGTAAACAAGCTTCTTGGTCTCCATGTGCATGCAGTGCCGAATGTTGTGAACACAATGCTAGCTGTTGGGGAACCAATATCTGTCCAGGCAGACAAGGAATGCTCTGTGCTGGACCCAGATTCTCCAGAAGGGTTTTGTCTGCTGCTATGGTGCTCGGCTCAGGTTCTGAACGAGCTGCACGTGGACATCTTAGACTACATAGAGCGCACCTTGGCGGCCATGTCCTGACCCGCAGCCTCAGCCTGCTCGCAGACTGTTGCAGGCAGTGTGCCCGTGCCTGCTCTCACCATCCGTACGTGCCTTGCATTCCCATCATTCTGAATCCCAGGCTCGTGGATCAACGAGCTTGCCTTCCGCACCATGTGGTCGGAATTCGAATGGGAAAACAAGGTAAACATCAACACCTCCATAACAGAGGCAGGTTTTGGTTTGCTTTCCGAGCACGGTTTTGCGAGTGTTTGTTAACTGTTTGCTGCGAGGTGGGGACGTTCCTGGAACACATCATGAGAAATACCAATATGTCCATCGTTGGTAGAAGTTACAAGAAGACTAGCAACGAGCTCAGGATGCAGGTCCTACGCACGAAGGAGTCCGAGGTAGTAAGCTCCCTTGCCTAGGTGATAACAAGGCCCAGAAGAAGGGCAAGCTGACTGCAGAAGATGTGCAGGAGATGTTGCGAGATGCTGTGGGGACTCTTGGCAAATAGTTGCTGTCACGAAGTTCCGCAGACATCACCAGCTGTGCAGAGTTTTAGTTTCAAGCCCTTGCCAAGGATCAAGAAGCTCATTGACACCTCCAGCTTTGTCGCCGTCAATCTCTATGCTAAGTCCATCTTCGGTGAGGATGCTACAACTCGGGAGTTGACAATGGTAGAGGGTTCGCTTGTGACTACTCCCCGGGTTCGCTTGTGACTTCTCAATTTGGTTCGCTTGTGACTTCTTGTTTTTCCTGAAGCCCTACCCTAAACCCTAAACCTTAAAGCCATACCCTAAACCTTAAACCCTAAAGCCCTACCCTAAACCCCTCCAAAAAACCCTAAAGCCCTACCCTAAACCCTAAACCCTAAAGCCCTGAACTCTAAACCCTAAAGCCCTACCCTAAATCTCAAACCCTAAACCCTAAAGCTCTACCCTAAACCCCAAAGCCCGACCCTGAGCCCTAAACCCTAAACCCTAAAGCCCTACCCTAAACCCTAAACCCTAAAGCCCTACCCCTAAACCCTAAACCCTGAAGCCTGTAATTCCTGGAACCCTTATGTAAGCCTAAAGCCTTACCCTAAAAGAAACAAACAAACAAAGCCCCAAAGCCCCAAAGCCCTACCCTAAACCCTAAAGCCCTACCCTAAACCCTAAACCCTAAAGCCCTACCCTAAACCCCAAACCTTAAAGCCCTACCCTAAACCCTAAACCCTAAAGCCCTACCCTAAACCCCAAACCCTAAACCCTAAAGCCCTACCTAAACCCTAAACCCAAAAGCCCTACCCTAAACCCTGAACCC